GGACCTGAGTTTGAATCTCCCCTCCCCCCCTTAGCAGCAAAGCTCTGCTGCTGGAAGCAGCTACTTTCCACCCGAGAGAATCAGAAACACTGGGCCAAAGGTTCTGCATGTAGGGTTTGTGCAGCATCACCTACCATCACTGTAAAGAGAAATAGGGATGGAGAGTAGCACCAGGGCAGACAGGTGGTACCAGCTGGTTAGAGCATGCTGTATGAAGACAGGAGATTGCTTTGGGCATGGACCCTGCCTTGGCTATTGAAACAGGAAAACAAGAAAGCCCAGAATTCTGTGGGTCACGTGAAAATGGTGTGCAGGTATGGGGGGTGAGTCAGGGGGCTTGAAGTAGCCAGGATTTGCTGGTAGTTGCTAGGTCCCCAAATGTACTGCGTCCTTTTTCAGGGAAGACCCTCCGCACTGTGGATCCTTCGGACAGCCGGGTGCCCCTGACTGCGGTAGCTGCCATGCCTGCCCCCTACACCAGCATCACCATGGCCAGCTCTGACTCCACCTTGCGCTTTGTGGACTGCAGGAAGCCTGGCTTGCAGGTCAGGAGGTGTGCAGTTCCCTGTGCCCTAGCTGGGGGTCTCTAGGAGCCTGTCAGGGAAGAAACTCAAAGAGTACTCCAGCAGGAACACTGCCATAGCAGCTCTGTGGGTGGGGCTCCATGATGGACTGGCGTTCTGAGGGTTTTCCCTTCCATGGCATAGATTGGGAGGGCCAGGCCTCCTGGCCTTGTGGGCTTGCGTGGGATGGACAGACGTAGGGTAGGGGATGGTGATGGCTGGCATTTGAGCACAGTCTCCCTCTGCCTACAGCATGAGTTCCGACTGGGTGGAGGGCTGAACCCTGGGCTTGTCCGCTCCCTGGCAGTCAGCCCCAGTGGCCGAAGTGTTGTGGCTGGCTTCTCCTCCGGCTTCATGGTGCTGCTGGACACCCGCACAGGCCTGGTTCTGCGAGGCTGGCCAGCCCATGAAGGGGACATTCTACAGATCAAGGTGACTGCCGTGGGTCCCTCCCTTCACTTCTGCTTAGAGCCTGGCCTGAGCGAGGACAGGATTATGTTGGTATCTCTTTTACCTACTCAGGGACATGGGACGGGCAGGGAAGGTGGCTCTTGCAGGGCTGGGAACCAAGGCTAGAACTGACCCTGCTGCTCCACGGGGATGTTCTAATGAGTAACCCTTGTCCATATTTGTCTTGCTTGGAGGTTCAGGGGTCATGCCCTGTCCGTGACCCAGTTCAGGTTAAATAAAGCTAAGCCTGGAGGCTGTTTACTGCCTGGAGACCACTGAGCAGAGTCCATGCCCCCTGCTGGGCTGTCCTGATGGGGCCAGGAACAGGCTCAGGCATGGGCATCATGCTCCTGCTTTCTGTATTCAATCATAGACCTCAGGGAATGCTCAGAAAGTTCAGGGAGGACAGCTTGTGGGAGGATTTCTCCCAGCAGCTGGAACTCTCCTCCCCAGCATGTATGGAGGCTAAGGCCTGCTACTGGGGAATGTAGGCTACCCTCAGCTCTGTCCAGAGCCCCAAGGGACCCTAAATTCCAGCATTGTAAGAAAGTGTCAGCATGACTTTGGGGTCATCCTGTATCAATCCCAGTTCTCTTGTAAAGTGAGGGTGCCGACTGGGGCTTTCAGAAGATTCCAGTTTTGTTCTCAGCATAAGCATCTGGCAGCTCCAAACCTGCTTGTGACTCCAGTGCTAGGGGTTCAACACACTATGATCTCCATGGGTATCTGTCCTCACGTGGTACACACACACACACACACACACACACACACACACACACACACACACACACGAATAAAAGTAAATGTTAAAGGAGGACAGTGGCAACATGTACTGTGCTGTGCAGGTTTTTAGGGAGGTTAGATGTGGTGATGCAGGTGTGCAACACAATGCCTGCACAGAATGGTTGGAATTTTTTTCTTTAATTTTTTTTTTGGGGGGGGAGGTTGAGACAGGGTTTCTCTGTAGGTTTGGAGACTGTCCTGGAACTCTCTTTGAAGACCAGGCTGGCCTCGAACTCACAGGGATTCGCCTGCCTCTACCTCCCAAGTGCTGGGATTAAAGGCATGCACCACCACTGCCTGGCTTCTTTTTTTTTTTTTTTTTTTTTTTAGATTTATTTATTTATTTATTACATATACACCAGATTGAATTGTAGATGGTTGTAAGCCACCATGTGGTTGCTGGGAATTGAACTCAAGGCCTCTGGAAGAGCAGTCAGTGCTCTTAACCTCTGAGTCATCTCTCCAGCCCCCATGGCTTCTTTAATTTTAAAAAGACTTACATTTATTTATTTTGAGGCATGATTTCTCTATATCACCTTGGAACTCATTATGTAGAGTAGGCTGGCCTTGAACTCAGAGAGAGCCCCCTGCTTCTGCCTCTTAAGTACTGGGATTAAAGCTGTATACCACCATGCCTAACTATTTTACATATAGCTATATATTTTGTTGTTGTTGTTGTTTGGTTGGTTGTTTTCTTTGGGGTTTAATTTTTTTTTTGAGGGGTTTTTCTCTGTGTAGCTGTGGCTGTCCTGGAACTTGCTTTGCTGTCCAGGCTGGCCTAGAACTCAAAGATCTTCTTGCCTCTGCCTCCTGAGTAGGCAGGGATTAAAGGTGTGCACTACCACCAGTTAGTTTATAAGCATGTGTATGTGCACTACCTTTAGCCAGTGCTAGCAGAAGTCAGAAGTGAGTGTCAGATCCCCTGGAACTGGAGTTACAGATGGTTGGGAGCCACCATGTGGGTGCTGGGAATTGAACCTAGGTTGTTTGCAAGAGTTAAGAAGTACTTAACTTCTGAGCCATCTTGCCAGCCCCATATATACTTTGTATGGGGAGGGGGTAATGAGCAGACAGGGTTTCTCTATATAGTCCTGGATGTCCTGGAGTCTGTTCTTAAATGAGAGTAATGGGTACAGGTTTTTTGTTTTTTTTGGTTGATATGTTTCATTTGTGTTTTAAGGCAAGGTCTGCAGCACTTGGGAGGCAATGGCAGGCAGATCTCTGTGAGTTTGAGACTATGCTGTTCTACAGAGTTCTAGGACAGCCAAGGCTACACAGAGAAACCCTGTCTTGAAGAACAAAACAAAACAAGACAAGATTAGACTCTGAACCCCTTGGTGGCTTGGAGCTTGCTATGTAGACCAGGCTGGCTTCAAACTCATTTTCATAGTGTTGGATTTATGGGCTTGTGAGATTCATGGCAACCATATTGCCCAGTCAGTCAGTGATGGTTACGTTAATAAGATATATTAGTTTTTCGTTTGGAGACAAGGTCTCACTGTGTATCTCCCAGACCCAGGCTGTGTAGACCAGGCTGACCTTGAATTCAACGAGGTTGGCCTCGTGAGTACTGAAATTAAAGAGACTCTGAAATGGTCATGGAGTTTGGTGGGTAGATGGGATTCCCCAGGCCCCTACTGAAGCTGTCTGCCCCCTCCACTCGACAGGCCATAGAGGGCAGCATGCTAGTCAGCTCGTCTTCTGACCATTCCTTGACCGTGTGGAAGGAGCTGGAGCAGAAGCCCACACACCACTACAAGTCAGCATCCGATCCCATCCACACCTTTGACCTGTACGGCAGCGAGGTGGTCACTGGCACTGTAGCCAACAAGATTGGCATCTGTTCCCTGCTTGAACCACCCTCTCAGGCCACCACGAAGCTCAGCTCGGAGAACTTCCGTGGCACACTCACTAGCCTGGCCTTGCTGCCCACGAAACGCCACCTCTTGCTGGGCTCGGACAATGGCATCATCCGCCTCCTGGCATAGGTCCAGGTAGGAGTTAGCTGAAGGCAGGGGTGAGATGACACCCCTCAGATCCTGCTCCTCATTCTTGATCTCTCAGCAGCTCCCTTTAGACAAGCCCTGGGCTCAGGTGCCCACATGGCCTGCCATCTGGGATCACACAGCTCCTGAATCTCCAAGGCCATGAAGTGGCTTCATTCGTGAAACTCGGGAGATGCTGTTCTAACCAGCAAGAAAGGGGACAGGGGAAAGCACCGTGATCCCCACTGTTCCCCAGCTCTGCCTTCTGGGTTCACACGGGAACAGGGAAACTCCAAGAAGTGAAAGGTCTTGCTCAGCCAGTTTCTTCTAGCCAAGCTCACCCCAGCTCTGTCTCCCAAGGATAGGAAACTGCTCCTATCCAGGGCACTGATGGTACCTGGACTCTATCCTAGGGAGGGCTGGCCATGACCCAGGAGTTTAAGGGCTTTGTCTGGGGTCTCAGTATCCACACAGCCAGGTCTTCTCAGTGTGGGACCAGCAAAAGGGGGAAGGGAAAGTGGGGCCAGAGAAGAGGTTATATGGTCCAGGAACGAATCCATGCCTTGCCTTGGTACCCTAACCACAGTGTTTGTGCCTTGAGCCAGGGAGGCAGCCCTGGGACCAGCATCCCTGGGGAAAAGGGGCAACAGGAATCATCTCTGCATCTCAGGTCCCTCTCAGGAGATGGGAAGATCCTGGCATCTCTTGGGTCCCCATTTGGAGCAGAGAAGCAATCTGAGATGTGACCCCTGCTGCCTCCTCACTGTTGGCGATCCATGTAAATATGATCAATAAATTGTTTGGAAGAGCCATGGAGCTGAGTGAGGCTGTGTTGTGTTTTGTTTTACCTGAGCTGGGCTCAAGCAGTCTGCCTCAGCCATTCCAGGAGGCAGGGGTTACTGGTGGGTGTCGCCATTTCTGGCTTATGGCTTGTCCTTGATCTTTTTGAGATGGTCTCATGTAGCTCAGACTGGTCTTGATCTTGGGATGACTCTCCTGCCTGAAGCAAAGTCCTGGGATTATAGGCATAACACCAGGCCCAGCTTTTAATTTTTAAAGACATATTTTTATGTGTATGAGTGTTTTGCCCACATGTATGCATGTGCATCATTTGTGTGTTTAGACCCTGCAGAGGTTAGAAGAGGGCATCAGATTCCCTGGAATTGGAGTTACAGACAGTTGTGAACCACCATGTGGGTGCTGAGAATTAAACCTGGACTCTGCAGGAGCAGCTAGTGCTCTTAACCCTTGAGCCATCTCTCCAGTCCCTATGTCCAGCGTATTGCTTTTTATTTTTTGATACAAGATCTTTGTAGCTCAAACTATTGGCCTTGAACTTGATATGTAGCTGAAGTTGACAATCATCTTAACTCTCTCCTCCAAATGCTGATATTATGCATAGGCTTGTATCATCATGCCCACCGCTTTATCTTGATGGCAGTAAGGTTAGGAAAGCCAAGACCTGGTAGTTTCCAGGGCTGTGAAGAGCAGAGCCAGAGGGTAGAGAGGGTGCCATTGTCTTCTGGTTGCCTTGGATACAGGGCCTCCGGTCTGGTGGCCTCAGGCAAGTTTTCAGATGGCTTATCCTTGGGGAAAGTGAATGTTGTTGCTTGGGGAAAGTGAAGAGGTGGTACCCTGGGATGGCCTGCCTCCAGCTGAGTCTCATCTCTCCACCCCTTACCTTGGCCCATGCTAAAGGTAGCCAGCCAGAATCCTAGGCTTGCTGCATGTTCCTACAGCCTCCCCTTGCCTGGGACAGTTGTGAAGGTGATGGGAACACAGGAATTTGGAAATGGGAATCTGATTGTGATTCAGTCTCTCTGAGCCTAACTGACCATGGATAATCCCCATGCTGAGGGGTCATTAGAAGGCTTGCCAGGCCTCTGAGCATCCTTGATCTACCCACTTGTCTGGCCAGGCCCAGCCTCCTCAACTGTCTGTTCCTGTAACCAGGCTCAGGCAGGGTTCTGGGTAGCTGTCTTAGGATTAGCAGCCCTGATGGGAAAGGGGCTTCTGGCCCCCGAATCAATGTTTAACCGGATGTGCAGGTCAATATTTACCAGCAGAGAAGGCAAGCTGAACGGGGGTTGGCTAAGAGCAAAGGTCCTGTGGGAGGGGAGAGCTAGGCCAGGCTGGCTGCACCAGGCAGAGCGTGGGGAGCAAGTGGGTCCAGGAGAACATCGTGTGCTGGAGCAAGACTCCTGAAGAGGTAGGATGGAGGGGTGGTGCAGCCTGCTCGGGCAGCAGAGGAGGCTGGGGGGGGGGGGCCTGGGCAAGGGGTCTGGCTGAATTGATTCAGGGAACCTGCAGCTTCACAGTGCTTTGGGGGTGTCGAGGAGCAGAAGTGCAGGCAGTTCCAGAAGTTCCTTTAGAACTTCAAAACCTGGAGGCCTGTTCTTTTCAGGAAGAATCGTGTATCCAGGTTGGAGATGAGGGCCTGGCTGACGGCTCTTGGACGTAATGGTGGGGGCTGGGGAGTAACAAAGGAACCCTCCAGAAGAGCTAGCAGGAGATAAGGCCCGGGTAGGGGTTGAGGACAGGAAAATCTGTATTGGAGGTCTTAGACTAAGACTTACACAGCCCCCCTCCACCAGCCTTGCTTCCCTGAAGCAGAACTGGGGGGCAGAGTTTGGGATAAGGCTTGTGGTTCCCGTAAGTCCAAAGGTATTTGGGCCAGTCATTCATTGGGCTCTGCTACTAGGTCAACAAAGCAGCTTTCTGGCTGCCCTGCCTCCCCAGCTGAGCCCTCAGGACCTTTGGGTAGGACCAGGCAGCCTGAGAAAGGCTGGATGAAGTGAGCAACAGGTTAGGTGGATTCTCTGGGGTGGGAAGCCTTCTCAGACACAGATGGCTGAGGGTCAGCCGTCATACGCAGGGCTTACAGAGACTCTTATTTTGGCCCTCAATCTCTACATGGGAGGAAGAAGGACTGCCATGATTTTACAAGACAAGCTAAAGCCCAAGAGCATTAAGAGAAGTACTAAAGGTCCTGTGGGAAGAAGCAGAGGTCAGATTTGAACCCAGGTCTGGTCCACAATGTGAGGCCTAGAGAGTGAAGACTAAATGAGAAACTACAAGAGTGGAAAAAGAAATCATGGGAATCCCACCTCTCAGGATGAGGACCACAGCTAACACACTTGGGTGTGGGTCGAAGTTCTATGTCTTGATGGGGTCAGGGAGCCCACGGGTAGCAGTCCGCTGCCTGGTGTTTGAGTGGGAAGTGGAAACTAACCTTCCCTGTTCCGGATACAGGAACATGGCACTGCTCTGGGGGCTCCTGGTACTCTGCTTGTCCTGTCTGCAAAGCCCCTGCTCCATGGTGAGGCCGGGCTGAAGTCTGGGTTGAAGAAGATGCTGCAGGGAGGGCGAGTTTGGGAGAGGTCAGCGGGTAGAGAGGGCGGAATGCTGCGTCCAGGGAGGGGTTGTCTCTGAGGGACCTTCCTGCCTCCACTCACCTTTTCTCAACAGTTCTCCCCTGTGAGCGCCATGGATCTCCCGAGCCAGCAGGTACTAGGGGGGCTTGAGCAGAAGAGCCCAAAGGTCTCACCTATGTCTCGGGCAAAGCAGGGACCTATGGAGAGGGCCATTTCTCCACCCACTTCCTCCTTTCCAAAGCCAACGAGTGAGCAGGCCCAGCAGAAGCTGCCTCCACTCGCCCTCCTCAAGTTGGGCAACCAGGTACAATGAGGTGGGGCTGGGGAAGAGCAAGTGGGAGGGGGGTGACGTGGTCATGGGACCGGTATTCAGGGGTGCAGAAGGGATGGGGTAGGAATGACCCCAGAATGACTCCTCCTCTCCCCCAAGATCTGGGACAAGGCCTTGCTGTCCTCTAGTCCCAGGACTGTGAGGGAGACACAGAATCCGAGGCTGCCCCTTAACCTTACTGACCTCTGATCTTTTCCTGTAGGATCTCAGTGGTCACGATATCCAGGAGAGGTCCCCAGGAGACTGCAAGAGTACCCCAACTGCAGAGGAGACTCGCAGGCTGGCTCGGGCCATGATGGCTTTTACTGCTGACCTGTTCTCCTTGGTGGCCCAGACATCCACCAGCTCCAACCTTGTCCTGTCACCCCTGAGTGTGGCCCTGGCTCTCTCTCACCTGGCACTAGGTACTGGAGCAGCACCTGCCCAGAACTAGAAAGCTACAAGAAGTTCAGTGCTGCAGATGTTATCCAGGGGCGGTCCCTCCATCAAGGCACACATGGATATTTGGTAGCATGAGGGTGCTTGAGCTGTCACCACCCTCTGTGAGTCAGAAATCCAGGGATGGCCTAGGAATGTGGTGATTGACAAATCCCCTTAGTTATTTTAGCACAAGACTTTGACAGCTACACTGTCTTCCCCTGGACATGAGTGTTTCACTGTGGGACTGCGATTCAGTGAGAGAAGGTGTCTTGAGTGAGGTGACATTGGCAGCTTGTTAGCAGCAGAAATGAAAGTGGAATTTGGGAGTCCGATAGCTCAGTGAATGTAGGGGGGGGAGAGCAGTGGTCTGTAGCTGTGTTCATCCTGGGGATGAGAGGGTGGGAGTGGGGAATGGGACAGCAAAGAACCAGTAGCCTGGGCCTCGGCCCTATCCCCTTCAGGTGCTCGGAACCAGACGCTACAGAGCTTGCAACAAGCGTTACACGTGAACACGGGACCTTGCCTTCCCCACCTACTGAGCCATCTCTGCCAGAACCTAGGCCCTGAGACAATCCGACTAGCTGCCAGAATATACCTGCAAAAGGGTAGGTGATGATGGCAGTCAGTCGCCCAGGAACTACTCTGCCACCAATGAGCAATGGGGAGTGGGAGGGGCTTAGGCTCAGGTAGCCAGGTAGAACACAGGTGGCCGTCAGAGGCCCCAGCCCTGGGATGAGCTTGTGGTTTCATTGTGTGCAGAATTTCCCATCAAAGAGGATTTCCTGGAGCAATCGGAACGGCTCTTTGGTGCAAAGCCTGTGAAACTGACTGGAAAGCAGGAGGAAGACCTGACGAACATCAACCAATGGGTGAAGGAGGCCACGGAGGGGAAGATTGAGGATTTCCTCTCTGAGCTGCCAGATAACACCGTGTTGCTTCTCCTCAATGCCATCCACTTTCATGGTGCACTGTTCTTCTTGAGCCCCTCACCCTGACAGCCCCACCTGCCCTGTAGGCTGAGCAGGGCTGTGCAAACTTTGCTGTGAGGTTGCTAGGCCATGAAGCAGGGGGTTTGTCTGGGTGTGCCAGGAGGAAGCTCAGAAGCTGTGGAGGGCAGACTGCCCTGAGAAAATGGGGGCCGCAGAGGGATGGAGAAATACAAGCCCAGGTGTAGGAAAGACGCCTACGTTCAATAGGGTGTTAGTGCTGGGGGCTTGGCTTCCATTTTTTTTTTGAGACAGGCTTTCTCTGTGTAACAGTCCTTGCTGTCCTGGAACTCGCTTTGTAGACCAGGCTGGCCTCGAACTCACAGAGATCCGCCTGCCTCTGCCTCCCGAGTGCTGGGATTAAAGGCGTGCGCCACCACTGCCGCCCCCATCAGCTTTGGCTTCCACTTGTTCCTTGCATGGGTTCTAGGTGGGATAGGCAGGAGGCTGGTCTTATGTTACATGGCTCCTGCCCTCTGCCTGGCTGCAGGTTTCTGGAGGACCAAGTTTGACCCAAGTCTCACCCAGAAGGACTCCTTCCACCTGAACGAGCGCTTCACCGTGCCAGTGGACATGATGCAAGCACAGTCGTACCCTCTGCGCTGGTTCCTGCTGGAGCAACCTGAGACACAGGTCCCCCGGGGTTTCCCACCAAACTAGGCCTGGTGCTGGGAGGGGACGGAAGGCTATGCAGGGACCTCAAGGGTGAAGGGGGTACCCCATTTTCCTTGAAGTCTGGTCCCTGGGGATGTAGCTCTGGGAGGGTCTATTATGCCTCCATCTAGGACATGGCCTCTTTGAGGTTCATTTGCTTACAGAAAATATCCTGAGCTTTTGTCATATTCCAGATATGTTCTCTGCACTGGGGATTTAGTGGAGCTCAGGAAGACCAGGGCCAGTTCCTAAGGGAATATAAGAGTTCCCACCAGTGCGGCTCAGAAGGGAGGAGTCTGCCAGGTCGGGTTTACTGCTCCAAATACTCTGATTGGATGGAGTTCTGTGCCAAGTGGTCTCAGCTGAGGCTCCCCTTGGCTTCTAGCCTAACTGCAACTCCTCGGCCGGGATATTGACCCTTGGGGCCATCACCTGTGGCTGAGATAACACTATTGGCTAGTTTTGTCTGTTTTAGGGTCTGGCAGTGTTACACAGGCTGGTTTTGAACTCGTGATCCTCCTGTCCCAGCTGTCTGAGTGCTGGGATCCCAGGTGTGTGCCACCACACCTATTCACCCACTCTGTTGGTTGGTTTTACTAGGCAAGCAGGGCACAGCATAGTCAGTCCTCAGGAAGGAGCCACATGGGTAGTGTGGCTTCTCTCTAGCTAGTGTTGAGAAAGCAATGACCCGGTCAGCTCCCCTTAGCTTCTCATCTTCCTGTACTCTCTCCCTGTACTACACATTGTTCCTTCATCCTCTGGCTCAGGCTCCCATCCTCCAGCCTTTTGTCAGCAGCCAGCCCTGGCACTGCTCTCCCACTGGCAGAGGATCTGCCTGCAGGCCTGTGCTGGAACTCAGGGAGGCAGGGCTTCAGGAGCCTTAAGCCTGGTGGTTTCCAGGCTGCTGGAACTGCAGTAATTCTTCAAAAAGTGTCTTGTGACCTGAGTGCAGTGGCTTACACCATAATCCCAGCACTCAAATGATTGAGAGTCAGGGCTACATAACCAAACACTGTCTAAGGAGAAAAGTAATTGCATTCCAAATCTTGGCATATACAGCAAACTCACTGGGTGAAGGGGAAGTTGGAGAGGCAGGGTTCCTACCCTTTCTAGTGGCTCCTCTCCGGGTCATTTTGAAAGCCAGACGCCCCACCTATCATATACAGGGAGAACCGAGAGACAAAGACAGGAAGGTTCACAGCTTGTTTGTACAGCTAGCAGAGAGCAGATGGAGAGCTCAGTCTGTAGTGAAGACACTTGTAGAAGATTCAAAAATGTCGCTGGACATGTCGCTTAGTTGAGTACTTGCCTGGCATGCACAAAACTCTTTGTTCAACCTCTAGCACCACATAAACCAGGCACAGTGATGCACATCTGTCATCCTTAGCACGTTCGAGAAGGAGGCAGGAGGACCAAAAGGTCAAGGTGGAGAGTTGGCTCAGCAGTTAAGAGCACTTGCTGCTCTTGCAGAGGACCAGGGTTTGATTCCCAGCTCCCACGAGGCAGCTCACAAACATCTGCAGCTCCAGTTCCAAGGGACATGTGCCCTCTTTTGGACTCTGAGGGCTCTGCAAGTACATGATGCATAGACATTCAAACAAAATACCTATACACATAAAATAAAAAGAAATCTTAAAAAGAAATTCAAGGTCCCCTTGAGTTACATAGTGAGTTTGAGGACAGCCTGAGATACCTAAATCCTGTCTAAAAAACAAACCATAATGAAAATTGGGTTTGATGGTATGCATAGCTTTGTAATCTCAGTACTTAGGAGGCAGTCCAGGCAAGAGGGTCAGAAGTTCACAGTCATTCTTAGCTAAATTTCAAAGCCAGCTTTTGATCCCCAAGATCCTGTGTTCAAAAAATGGGGGAAGGGTGTGGTGGCACACATCTTTAATCCCAGCACTGGAGGCAGATGCAGAAGAAATCTCTATAAATTTGAGGCCAGCCTGGTCTATATAGTGAATTCTAGGATAGTCAAGGCTACACAGAGAAACCTTGCCTAGCAGCAGCAGCAACAACAACAACAACAGAAATATGATTAAAAACAAAAAAAGTAGAGAAGGCAATCGGTATCAGCCTACTTCTGGCCTTCACACACACATGTGCAAGCACACAACCATGCAAACATGTGTGCATATGTATGCACACACAGAGATTTAAAAGCATTATCTCATTTGGTCACATGTCACCTTGCAAAGGGGCAAGTGATAGTGCTCCATTTCACAGATGAAGTGAAGGCACATTGAACTTGAACCTCTGGCTCCTGTCTCAGAAGTACAGAAGCAATTTTGGCCCAGACCCCAATAGGTTCAGGTGTTGCCTGGTCCTCATGTTCTCTCTTTTCTTATCTGTAGGTGGCTCACTTCCCCTTTAAGAACAACATGAGCTTTGTGGTCATGATGCCCACTCATTTTGATTGGAATGTGTCTCAGGTACTAGTCAACCTGAGCTTGGACACTCTGTACCATCCCTCGCTACGGGAGAAGCCTACCAATGTGTGGCTGCCTAAACTCCATTTGAAACAGCAGCTGGACCTGGTGGCCACCCTCAGCCAGCTGGGTAAGGGGGCTGGGGATTGGGATTGGGGGGCTCAGGTGATCTGGCAGGGCATGTGAGGAGAGTCCTCCAGATGGCAGTGTGTCTGAGTCAGAGGTAGCCCTGCATCCTGGATGGGAGCAATTGATACCCTCCCCTAGACCTTCCGTCCTAGGATGGATTGGGATGAACTACTCTGCTACCTGAGCACTACAGAGAATCCTGGGTAAAGAGTTCAGGGTGATATGTGAATCTTACTGTCTATCTTGGAAAGGGGAAGAGGAGAAGCTGGGGTCACCATGTGAAAGAGCTGTAGCTGCTCTGCCTTAGGGCCCTGTGAACTCGCTGTGTATAAAGTGCTCAGTTTAATGGAGTGGGCACACGAAGATTCATGTCCTTTCAGTCTAGTATGAGTGGTGAGTGTGTCTCTCCAGCTCACCCTAGGAAATTCAAACGGGTACCACTGCACACTCTGATTAAAAACAAAGGGGGGTGGTGGGAGTTCCAGAAGTGGTGTCTAGGCTGAGACTTAAAGATTTAACATGCCAATCAATCTGTGGGTTCAAGTGTTCCCTTTAGCCAGGATGTCAGACAGGTCCAGGTAGCCCGGGGCAGCACTGACCGGTCATCTGTTGCTCTGGGCAGGCCTGCAGGAATTGTTCCAGGGCCCAGACCTGCGTGGGATCTCTGACCAGAGTCTGGTGGTGTCTAGCGTGCAGCATCAGTCTACTATGGAACTCAGCGAGGCTGGCGTGGAGGCAGCCGCAGCCACCAGCACAGCCATGAATCGAATGTCCATCTCCTCCTTTGCGGTGAACCGACCCTTCATCTTCTTCATCATGGAAGACACCTTAGGCATGCCCCTCTTTGTGGGCAGCGTGAGGAACCCCAATCCCGGTGCACAGCCCCAGCTCCAGGAGCAGCAAGATTCCCCTGACAACAGGGTCTTCCCGAATGAAAAGGCTGACTTCCACGGAGACAAGACCTTTGGTCCTGATTTGAAACTTGCACCCCCCTTGGAGGAGGATTACCCCCAGTTTAGCACCCCCAAGTGAGGAGGGACCCTGGGCATCAGCATCCCATGTCCCCACCTGGGTCAGCTTCTCAACTGCTGTGACTCTTTCCAAGCAGCTTTGTGGGATAGGGTGGGACCTGGGGAGGCAGTCTACAGGGAAAGGAGCCATTCTCTTGCAGGAGGTGCGGTGGGGTCTGGAGGAAGGCAGGCAAAAGGACTCTTCATTTCTTAACGAGCTCAGGGGGTGACCTTTTGTGGGCTGGGCACTCATGGATACAGTTTTGGCTAGAGGCGGGTTAGGCCGGTCCCTAGCTTAGTTGGGGTACCTTCATATTTGTAAGCAGAAGCTGGAGAGGCCACCTTTAGATGTGTCCCCAAACACCCTGAGCTCAGACCTTGGCCTTGCTTGTTGTACTCCATGGGTAGAGGTGGACCTACCCTGACTCTGATGTGCCTTGCTGAAGACAGACAGGTCCCCACCCATGTCCTACCACCCAAGTCACCCCTCTGGTCTTTGGAGATGCCAGCACTGCCAGGAGCCCCCTTCCTTCCTCTCTACACTTGTCCTCTTCTGCCGGGAAGCTCAGGGGCTGAGGCAGGGAAGGGCCCCTCTAGCTCCCAAGACACTTTTGTAAGGTTTTTGTAGTGACTTTTACGCCACCTGAATAAAGAAATGAATGGGCCGGGCTGGTTTGACGTCACGGTTCTGGGCAAGTGGATGTGGCTGGGAGGCGGCCAGAGGGCAGATTGCACTGAGCCCTCTCTGTGCCACGTTTGGTTTCTGGCCACACGCCAGTCTTCTCTAGGTCTTCCTCCGCCAGCCTGGCTCAGCTCTTAGCCCTTCCCTCTATGTGTGCCTCAGGCAGCCGGTAACAAGGACGGCTCAGAACTGGCAATTAGGGAGCTAACGGGTCTCTAATTACACCCCAGCCGCTTTGCCAGGAACTGGCGCCCGCCAGCCGGGGCCAGGCTGACAGCTGGAGGCTGGCAGTGTCTGAAGATTTGGGGGATGTAGTTGGGGATACCTTGGCACCGGATTGGTTACTTCCTGTGGAGGAGCAGGAGCTAGGGGTCAAACTGGTGTCTATGTGGGTGGTGAGGGCTGTCCTCTGGGGCAGGCACTTCTCCCTGCTGGGGTCTCCTGTGTGAGGGCAGGGAGTCCATGTGGCAGTAGCCCTCTGGGGCCCTTATGCCCCTGGGTGGGGTCGGAATGAGGGCGGGATAAGAGATTGCTTGTATGGGATCCTGATGCTGCTAAACTGCCAGTGTGGGGGCGGGACGGGGGCAGGAGCAGATAACACAGTAGGGGAATGTATGCCAAGCCACAGGGCAATGTCAGAGGACGAGGGCCCTTAATTGAGACTTGAACAGTGGAGCAAGGAGCGGGCAGGGCAGGGAGGGAAGGCCTGTCCAGCAGGTGACATCAGTCAGAGCAGGGGCTGAAGAGGTAATGGAGAGCACCTCAGAAGTTTCGGAAGACGACTGGAGAGCTGCTGGGAAGAGGAAAAGCAAGAAGGCGTGTGCCGAGAGCATGCGCAGATGTTCAAGATGAGCTGCGCGTGGCGCTGGGCAAGAGCGCGAGTCTGTAGTTGGGGAAAGAACATAAAGGGCTCTAGGACCATGCAAGACTTTAAAGGAAAGATTTGCTATTTACTTTTATTTTGTTTTTTTAAAGATTTATTACGTATACTTTTATTTTGTGTGTATAAGTGTTTTATGTGAACGTATCTTTGTGTGTCACATCAATGGCTATGGAGCCCAGAAGAGGACATCTGGAGCTGGGGTTGGGGTTACAGGGTTCTGAGACACGATGTAGGTGCTGGGAACCAATCTGGGTTGCCGCAAGAGCATCCAGTGCTCTTAACTGCTGAGCCATCTTACCGTTGACCTTTTCTTCTTCCTTTTTTTTTTTTTTTTTTTTGTTATTTGTTCTTTTGTTTTTTGACACAGGGTTTCTCTGTGTTGCCCTGGCTGACCTGGAACTCGATTTGTAGACCAGGCTGGTCTCGAACTCAAAGAGATCCTCCTGCCTCTGCCTCCCGAGAGCTGGGATAAAGGTGTGCACCACCACGCCCTGGCCCCCCTGTCTTAAATTTTTTATTTTTAATCATGTGTAGGAGATGTGGATATGTGCAGTTGCCCTCAGGGAACAGAAGAGGGTGTCGAACACCATGGAGATGGATTTGCAGGCAGTTGTGAAGCACTTGATGGGGTGCTGAGAACAAAACTCAGGTACTGTAAGAGCAGTACATTAACCACTGAGCTATTTCTCCAGGCCCCTATTGTGTGTGTTTTAATTAATATTAACATTTATTTATTTATTTTGTTCCTTTGCTTTTTGATTTTTAGTGTTTTTGTTTTGTTTTGTTTTTCGAGACAGGGTTTCTCTGTATTGTTTTGGAGGCTGTCCTGGAACTCGCTCTGTAGACCAGTCTGGCTTCGAACTCAAAAAGATCCGCCTGCCTCTGCCTCCCGAGTGCTGGGATTAAAGACGTGCGCCACCAACGCCTGGCACTTTTGGTGTTTTTTGTTTGCTTTGTTTTTTTTTTTAAGATTTATTTATTTATTATATATACAGTGTTCTGCCTACATACCAGAAGAGGGCACCAGATTGAATTGTAGATGGTTGTGAGCCACCATGTGATTGCTGGGAATTGAACTCAGGACCTCTGGAAGAGCAAGCAGTGCTCTTAACCTCTGAGCCATCTCTCCAGCCCCGCTTTGTTTTGCTTTTGAGACTAGGTCTCACTATATGTAGCCTCAGCTGGCCTGGAACTCATTGTGTAGACCAGGTTGTCCTCAGACTCACAGAGATCTGCTGGCTTCAGCTTCCCAATGCTGGGATTAAAGACGGGAGCCACCACACCTAGCAATTTACTTCCTTCTCTATTGACGTATGACTGTGCGCATGAGCGTGTGCCATACTGCACAACAGCGGTGAGAGGACAGCCTGCAGGCATTGGCTGTTTCCTTTACCGTGTGTAGGGTGAGCCACAACACTGGTCACGCCCCCACATATGGGTCTCAGGGATCAAACTTGGGCCCTCAGGGTGGCAGCAAGCTCCTTCACCATCTTGTGGGCCCTTTTCCCTGGCTTTTAATTTTGTATAAATGAATCATAAAGTCTTCTTCTCTGTTCTGTGCCCTGGCCCGGCCTGGCAGTGCTGGGGATTGAACCCAAGGTCTTGCCTATGAGGCAAACACCCTACCACTGAGCTGTTTCTACCTCAAATTTGTATTCTCTGTCTGGTTTCTTGCACTCAGCCTCATATGTTGGAGGCTTGTCTGTGTTGTGCCCAACAATGCCCCTTCACCTGGAAGCCTTGGGCTTGGGAGATGCTGGATCTGAGTTTGGCTTCTGAATGGAGAGGGATGAGGTGGGAATAAGAAGCTGGTTGGCCCACCCAGGGTGCAGATCAAAGCCATAGAATTCTTCTTGGGAGGAAGGAGAAGGAAGTACTCAGGGTGGGGTTTGGCCTTGCCATTCCTATGTTTTCTTTATAAAGGAATGGGTAGGGGTGGTGCCTTTGGCTGATTTGGGAAGCAGAATGACTATGGAGTGGATGGGGGGATTTGCAATTTAAACACCAATCACATGTCCTATTTTGCCTGAGAAAATTAGGGTTAGTCTTGTCATTTGAACTAATTAGTAGCATTCAGTCTTGCTATTGGAAGTGTCCTATAAGTTCATTCTTGGGCTACCATGTGGATCTGGCAGGCATGGAATTGCTAATGATGGTTTTGAAGGTACCCATTTTAAGTGTCAAGGGACTGACTGAATGCTTTGGTAAGGGGTGGGAGTGTATACTTGGCAGCATAGAGATGCTTTAAGTCATGGAAGTAGGGGCTGTGTGGGGCTCCTGCTTAGCTCGTTCAAGGTCCTGGGTTTCATTCCCAGTGGTGTGGGGAAGACACTGAACAGGAAGAAATCCCTTAAGGGGAAACGATGTAACAGAAAGGAGAAGGGTCCCAGGATAAAGCAAGCAGAGACAGAGACGGGAGTAAACGGAAACTGTAGAGAGAATGGGTTCCAAGAAGGAGGAACACTGCTCTGCTGCCTGCTGCTGAGAATGGAGGTTTCCACGTGGCAGTCAACACCAGTCACCCAGGTGACTGACAGTTTCAGAGAAGATGGGCACAGAGACACAGAGGGGAGGAGGAAGCGGGAACAGAAGCTGTGTAGACACGAGAGCAAACAGCTCTTTCCATCATGGCTGTGAGGGAGACGGGCAGTGACTTTAGGGAATGTAGGAGACTTTCAGATAATCAAAGTTTTTCTTTTTTCTTTTTCTCAATGCTCAGACGTGCTGGGGGAAGATTGCTGTACACTAGGCTACACCCCCAGTCCTAGGAGAAGTCTTTACATTTTTTTTTGCATTTTCTTGTGTGTGCACATACGTGCACATTTGCATGTGAGTAATATATGTGCCTTAGCACACATGTAGAGGTCAGAGGACATCTTGTGGGAGTAGGCTCTTTCTTGCTTGGCAGCAAGCACTAACAACTGTGCCCTGGGAGTGCAGAGACATTTTGAAGCTTTAGTAACTTCTTGTAGCAGACACTGGAAGGAGAGGCCTAGAGTCTGTTGGGTGAACTTTGGATGTTGTCTAATTTCCTGGAATCCCATAGAACCAAGAATGAAGCAATGAGGTTCTCCATTCTTCCAGTAGAGGCCACACTCTTGCCAGGGCTTTTGGCAGCCTGTTGCGTCCAGAATGCTTTCCCATCATGCATCTGTGTTGGCTGGCTTGGCGGGAGCCATGAGGTAGAGAGAGCCCTCTTTACCAATCCTCTTCTCCTTCAGGTGCAGTCTGGGGAGGCACTGGGTGTAGAGTAGCAGCAACTGGATTGAGGTCACACTAGAAGCTTCCTTTAAAGAAAAAATTTAAAAAACCCACTGGAAACTGGGTGCCTTTAATCCCAGCACTTGGGAGGCAGAGGCAGGTGGATCTCTGTGAGTTCGAGGTCTACAGAGTGAGTTCCAGGACAGCCTCCAAACCAATACAGAGAAACCCTGTCTCGAAAAACCAAAAACCAAACCAAACCAAACAAACAAAAAACAAAAATAAAAAAACAAAAAACAAACAAACAAAAAACGCTGGAAACAATGCAGTTATACTCCTTGCGAATAATTGCTTGCTTGCACATGTTCATTTTATTCTCTTTTTGTGGCTTTTCGAGACAGGGTTTCTCTGTATTGTTTTGGAGGCTGTCCTGGAACTCACTCTGTAGACCAGGCTGGCCTCGAACTCACAGAGATCTGCCTGCCTCTGCCCCCCCCCCAGTGCTGGGATTAAAGGCGTGCGCCACCACCGCCTGGCGGTTTTATTCTTTGATGGTGTCGGGGATGGAATCTAAGATCTCATGTATGCCAGGCAAGCATCCTATCAGAGTTATACCTCCAGCCCTGTGGGAGGCTTTCGGTGCAGGAGTTTTTGAAGTAGAATATTGAAATATTGGGGGTGGGGTGGGGGCTGGAGAGATGGTTTAGAGGTTAAGAGCACTGGCTGGTCTTCCAGAGGTCCTGAGTAAAATTCCCAGAGCCCACGTGGTGGCTCACAGCCCACATGGTGGCTCACAATCATCTGTAGTGAGATCTGGTGACAGCTTCTGGCCTGCACATAAACACACACTGAATACATAATAAATAAATAAATATTAAAAGAAATAAAAAGGATATTGA